GCCACACCACAACATTCCACGACCATACTTGTGACCTGAGCCACACCTCTTGCCACACCACAACATTCCACGACCATACGTGTGACCTGAGCCACACCTCTTGCCACACCACAACATTCCACGACCATACTTGTGACCTGAGCCACACCTCTTGCCACACCACAACATTCCACGACCATACTTGTGACCTGAGCCACACCTCTTGCCACACCACAACATTCCACGACCATACTTGTGACCTGAGCCACACCTCTTGCCACACCACAACATTCCACGACCATACTTGTGACCTGAGCCACACCTCTTGCCACACCACAACATTCCACGACCATACTTGTGACCTGAGCCACACCTCTTGCCACACCACAACATTCCACGACCATACTTGTGACCTGAGCCACACCTCTTGCCACACCACAACATTCCACGACCATACTTGTGACCTGAGCCACACCTCTTGCCACACCACAACATTCCACGACCATACTTGTGACCTGAGCCACACCTCTTGCCACACCACAACATTCCACGACCATACTTGTGACCTGAGCCACACCTCTTGCCACACCACAACATTCCACGGCCATACTTGTGACCTGAGCCACACCTCTTGCCACACCACAACATTCCACGACCATACTTGTGACCTGAGCCACACCTCTTGCCACACCACAACATTCCACGACCATACTTGTGACCTGAGCCACACCTCTTGCCACACCACAACATTCCACGACCATACTTGTGACCTGAGCCACACCTCTTGCCACACCACAACATTCCACGACCATACTTGTGACCTGAGCCACACCTCTTGCCACACCACAACATTCCACGACCATACTTGTGACCTGAGCCACACCTCTTGCCACACCACAACATTCCACGACCATACTTGTGACCTGAGCCACACCTCTTGCCACACCACAACATTCCACGACCATACTTGTGACCTGAGCCACACCTCTTGCCACACCACAACATTCCACGACCATACTTGTGACCTGAGCCACACCTCTTGCCACACCACAACATTCCACGACCATACTTGTGACCTGAGCCACACCTCTTGCCACACCACAACATTCCACGACCATACTTGTGACCTGAGCCACACCACTTGCCACACCACAACATTCCACGACCATACTTGTGACCTGAGCCACACCTCTTGCCACACCACAACATTCCACGACCATACTTGTGACCTGAGCCACACCTCTTGCCACACCACAACATTCCACGACCATACTTGTGACCTGAGCCACATCTCTTGCCACACCACAACATTCCACGACCATACTTGTGACCTGAGCCACACCTCTTGCCACACCACAACATTCCACGACCATACTTGTGACCTGAGCCACACCTCTTGCCACACCACAACATTCCACGACCATACTTGTGACCTGAGCCACACCTCTTGCCACACCACAACATTCCACGACCATACTTGCGACCTGAGCCACACCTCTTGCCACACCACAACATTCCACGACCATACTTGCGACCTGAGCCACACCTCTTGCCACACCACAACATTCCACGACCATACTTGTGACCTGAGCCACACCTCTTGCCACACCACAACATTCCACGACCATACTTGCGACCTGAGCCACACCTCTTGCCACACCACAACATTCCACGACCATACTTGTGACCTGAGCCACACCTCTTGCCACACCACAACATTCCACGACCATACTTGCGACCTGAGCCACACCTCTTGCCACACCACAACATTCCACGACCATACTTGTGACCTGAGCCACACCTCTTGCCACACCACAACATTCCACGACCATACTTGCGACCTGAGCCACACCTCTTGCCACACCACAACATTCCACGACCATACTTGTGACCTGAGCCACACCTCTTGCCACACCACAACATTCCACGACCATACTTGTGACCTGAGCCACACCTCTTGCCACACCACAACATTCCACGACCATACTTGTGACCTGAGCCACACCTCTTGCCACACCACAACATTCCACGACCATACTTGTGACCTGAGCCACACCTCTTGCCACACCACAACATTCCACGACCATACTTGTGACCTGAGCCACACCTCTTGCCACACCACAACATTCCACGACCATACTTGTGACCTGAGCCACACCTCTTGCCACACCACAACATTCCACGACCATACTTGTGACCTGAGCCACGACCATACTTGTGACCTGAGCCACACCTCTTGCCACACCACAACTTGTGGCATGTGAATGCACAAGTGACATGTCGCCTACCTCCACTCTGCCTACAGCTCTTCAATTAATGAACAAATATACAAGCCATACTGGCATTACAAAAGTGTCTATAGTAACAAGGGAAAGTGAATTAACATGGTCTACAATAAGAAGGGGAAGATCTGCTGTAATAAGTAATTTTAGGGAAGAAAATTAAGATCCGCTGTAATAAGTAATGAGTGATTGTACGTGAACTCCAACATAAGGTGGAAGAGTATGAAAATGAACTCCACAGAGAAGTAGAAGAGTGGATGTGGATGTAATAAAGGTTAATTGAGTGAACACAATCTTCAGTATGAGGTAAAGTGTGAACATGAGCTCCAGTAAGGTGTGGAAGAGAGTAAACATGAGCTCCAGTAAGGTGTGGAAGAGAGTGAACATGAGCTCCAGTAAGGTGTGGTAGAGAGCGAACATGAGCTCCAGTAAGGTGTGGTAGAGAGTGAACAAGAGCTCCAGTAAGGTGTGGTAGAGTGAACAAGAGCTCCAGTAAGGTGTGGTAGAGAGTGAACATGAGCTCCAGTAAGGTGTGGTAGAGTGTGAACATGAGCTCCAGTAAGGTGGGAAGAGTGAACAAGAGCTCCAGTAAGGTGTGGTAGAGAGTGAACAAGAGCTCCTGTAAGGTGTGGTAGAGAGTGAACAAGAGCTCCTGTAAGGTGTGTTAGAGAGTGAACAAGAGCTCCTGTAAGGTGTGGTAGAGAGTGAACAAGAGCTCCTGTAAGGTGTGGTAGAGAGTGAACAAGAGCTCCTGTAAGGTGTGGTAGAGAGTGAACAAGGGCTCCTGTAAGGTGTGGTAGAGAGTGAACAAGAGCTCCAGTAAGGTGTGGTAGAGAGTGAACAAGAGCTCCTGTAAGGTGTGGTAGAGAGTGAACAAGAGCTCCTGTAAGGTGTGGTAGAGAGTGAACAAGAGCTCCTGTAAGGTGTGGTAGAGAGTGAACAAGAGCTCCTGTAAGGTGTGGTAGAGAGTGAACATGAGCACTAGTAAGGTGTGGTAGAGAGTGAACATGAGCTCCAGTAAGGTGTGGTAGAGAGTGAACATGAGCACTAGTAAGGTGTGGTAGAGAGTGAACATGAGCTCCAGTAAGGTGTGGTAGAGAGTGAACATGAGCACTAGTAAGGTGTGGTAGAGAGTGAACATGAGCTCCAGTAAGGTGTGGTAGAGAGTGAACATGAGCACTAGTAAGGTGTGGTAGAGAGTGAACATGAGCTCCAGTAAGGTGTGGTAGAGAGTGAACATGAGCTCCAGTAAGGTGTGGTAGAGAGTGAACATGAGCTCCAGTAAGGTGTGGTAGAGAGTGAACAAGAGCTCCTGTAAGTTGTGGTAGAGTGAACATGAGCTCCAGTAAGGTGTGGTAGAGAGTAAACATGAGCTCCAGTAAGGTGTGGAAGAGAGTGAACATGAGCTCCAGTAAGGAAGAATGGTACCCAGCAAACACAAAACGTTGCTGCAACTTTCACTAACGTTTTCAGAGAGTTGTGCAAATAATAAGTTGTGGAAAAGGTTCAACATACATTTGAGCAATGATTAATCTAAAAATGATAAAAATATTTAAACACATAATTTAGCAAATATTGACTTTCTAACACTATTTTCTTCCTTGTATATTGAAAACAAATAATTTGTTCATGTTTTAATTTTACATTGATGTAATTCAGTAAAATGTATTAATGAATTGTAAATGTTGTTTGATAGCTGTATGAATCATTCATAAAACCAGTAAGTTTTAATTTCAAAATATATTTATTATTATTTCACTAACATTGATTTATACAACTTTATATGCTCATTTGTATATTAAAAAACTTGGTTCATGTTTGTATATTAAAAAAATGTATTTTTCTAAAAAATGCATAACATAGATTGTAAATGATGCTTTATATCTGTATGAAATATTTGATAATCAAATCAATAAGATTACATAATCAACTTATTTTATAATTTTTCATATATGGTTTGGCTAAAAAAAATTATAACATTATTTGCTCCCCTTATATTTTAAAAAATAGTTTTAATGTTTAAACGTATAATTATGTATTTTTCAATAAAATACATTACCATAAATTTTAAACCCAATTCATTGTTGTATGATGGGACACGCATAACATTTTATTGTAATAACAAATTTCAGATGCATCAAAATACTGTACTGTACCTGTGCAGTTGATGAGTCACAATAACATGGGTGAAGATATGATGACTAAACCAAACATCAGTAAGTAAAGACAAGTAGTTGTTTCAGTCTGTTTTGAAATATTATCATTAGGTCCTGGATGGAACGATACGTCCGCGATTCTTCAATTTCTGATGAGTGTGTTGGTCATCATATGTTCAGCCACGTTATTGCTGCTATATTTATAGCAGCAATAAAGCTATAGTATAACTATATTATAGTGGATTTTACATAAAAAAATTTAAACACATCTAGGTTACTACAACTAGTTGAGTACTAATAGGTGAGAACAGCCTGTGGTTTCATAAGTGAACATTATAAGGGGGGGGGGGCACCAGTGAAGAGTGAACATGCGCTGCAATAGAGGGGGCGGTGAACATGAGCTCCAATAAGGCGTGTAGAGAATAATGTGGTAGAAGAATAATTAATCTCGTGTTTATTCTTCTACTTCTAATAAGAGGGAGGGAGGGAAGGAGGCGGGGGGGGGGGGAAGAGGGCAGAAGCAGCAACAACAACAAGAGAGGTGATGAATGGGACGTGGAGAGACCCTCGTCACGCTACTGACCCAAGTTGTGACCTTCACAAGTCAGTTGGATGAAGCGGAAGAGCGCGCAAGTGAACTCAGCGTCGTGCATGTTCTTCTCTCCGGCGCAGCCGTCGGCGCCCACACCCAGACCCTCGGCCTTGGTGTTACGCTCGAAGGCGTCCAGGTCGAGCACCGAGCACGAATTCATCAACCCGGCGATGGACAGGAAGAAGGAGGCGTCCTTCTTCTCCTTCAGGTAAGTCAACATGGCCTGGCGAGAACACAGATACACAGAATGGTAACTTGGCTGACAGTCCAAGACCCTTTGAAGTGTCCGTCTTCAGTGATGAGTATGGAAATCTAATTGCATATAAGATATTGGACACCAAACTCAGTCCCCTGATACAGTGACAATGTGTTGCATGACACAGCAGGTGGCCAGATGGTAACGTGACCAAGTGCTAGTCAGCTTGGAACGTTGCAGTGGTAAGCTGTGTCATATGCTCATAGTATAATCTTAAGAGAATGTGACAACTGGTGAAACCGGTAGAATGACACATGGGAATATGGCGATGCATGGTAGCAGCCGATAGAATGGCTCATGGGAATATGGCGATGCATGGTAGCAGCCGATAGAATGGCTCATGGGAATATGGCGATGCATGGTAGCAGCCGATAGAATGGCTCATGGGAATATGGCGATGCATGGTAGCAGCCGGTAGAATGACTCAAGGTAATATGGCGATGCATGGTAGCAGCCGGTAGAATGACTCAAGGGAATATGGCGATGCATGGTAGCAGCCGGTAGAATGACTCAAGGGAATATGACCGCATGTGATGTCATCTGTGAAAATGCGGTAATGAGAACATGGGCACCCAGCTGAGTGGCCAAATGAAAACTTTGGCAATTTGATGAGAGACAAATTGAAAATCTGTCAGTTTTGGCGCCAAATGTGAGCGTGAACAGGTGAGGATGCTGTCAGGTGTGTGAGTGAGCAGACAAGAACATGGGCAGTTGTGAACGTCCTCAGGTGTGCTGGCGAGAACGTTCTCAGGTGTGTTGGTGAGAACGTCCTCAGGTGTTGGTGAGAACGTCCTCAGGTGAGCTGGTGAGAACGTCTTCAGGTGTGCTGGTGAGAACGTCTTCAGGTGTGCTGGTGAGAACGTCTTCAGGTGTGCTGGTGAGAAAGTCCTCAGGAGTGCTGGTGAGAACGTCTTCAGGTGTGCTGGTGAGAACGTCCTCAGGTGTGCTGGTGAGAACGTCCTCAGGTGTGCTGGTGAGAACGTCCTCAGGTGTGCTGGTGAGAACGTCCTCAGGTGTGCTGGTGAGAACGTCTTCAGGTGTGCTGGTGAGAACGTCCTCAGGTGTGCTGGTGAGAACGTCTTCAGGTGTGCTGGTGAGAACGTCCTCAGGTGTGCTGGTGAGAACGTCTTTAGGTGTGCTGGTGAGAACGTCTTTAGGTGTGCTGGTGAGAACGTCCTCAGGAGTGCTAGTGAGAACGTTTTTTAAGTGCAGGTGTTGAGTGTTTGTGTGCAGCTGTTGAAGAGTGGAAGTGTTGAGTGCAGGTGTTGATGAGTGCAGGTGTTGAATGTAGGTGTGCAGGTGTTGATGAGTGCATGAGTAGAGGTGTTGATGAGTGGAGGAGTGGAGGTGTTGAGGAGTGGAGGAACTCACCGCCTGACAGTCAACATTACCGCCCCGGAGGATAGCAATGCCCAGCTTGAGGGTGGTCATGACCATGTCGCCGGGCTGGCCGCGGGCCGCGGACACGTGAAGCAGCACCATCTCGGCCACGCCACGGTTGGAGAGCCGCGCCTGGTGGAACAGCAGCTTCTGCTTCTCCAGCTCTTGTTCCTGGCGGCAACAATGTGTGTCTCAGCCAAGCTTGCTATACAGGGTCATGGTAATTATACTCGCTATCATACGAGGGTGAGAAACTTGCTATACAGGGCCATAGTAATTATACTCGCTATCATACGAGGGTGAGAAACTTGCTATACAGGGTCATGGTAATTATACTCGCTATCATACGAGGGTGAGAAACTTGCTATACAGGGCCATAGTAATTATACTTGCTATCATACGAGGGTAAGAAACTTGCTATACAGGGCCATAGTAATTATACTCGCTATCATACGAGGGTGAGAAACTTGCTATACAGGGCCATAGTAATTATACTCGCTATCATACGAGGGTAAGAAACTTGCTATACAGGGCCATAGTAATTATACTCGCTATCATACGAGGGTGAGAAACTTTCTATACAGGGCCATAGTAATTATACTCGCTATCATACGAGGGTGAGAAACTTGCTATACAGGGCCATAGTAATTATACTCGCTATCATACGAGGGTAAGAAACTTGCTATACAGGGCCATAGTAATTATACTCGCTATCATACAAGGGTGAGAAACTTGCTATACAGGGCCATAGTAATTATACTCGCTATCACACGAGGGTGAGAAACTTTCTATACAGGGCCATAGTAATTATACTCGCTATCATACGAGGGTAAGAAACTTGCTATACAGGGCCATAGTAATTATACTCGCTATCACACGAGGGTGAGAAACTTGCCATACAGGGCCATAGTAATTATACTTGCTATGATACAGGAGTGAGAAATGTCAACACAATTGCTCGACCTTCACTCAATTTCATGAATTATAAAGAAAATCTTTTCACTCAAATGTTCCCAATGATATTGAAAGAAAAAGGTATACAGTGTATATAAACATATACATAAAATATATACAGTATAATATATAAGACATACTCAAATTAACTTGTAATCCTCTCTGGTTATTGACTTAGACCAACCATTGTGAAACTGTAAGATCACATGCTGGAAGACACAAGTGGCAGGGTGACATGGGTGGCTGGGTGGCAGGGTGACATGGATGGCTGGGTGGCAGGGTGACATGGATGGCTGGGTGACATGGATGGCTGGGTGGCAGGGTGACATGGATGGCTGGGTGACATGGATGGCTGGGTGACATGGGTGGCTGGGTGGCAGGGTGACATGGATGGCTGGGTGGCAGGGTGACATGGATGGCTGGGTGACATGGATGGCTGGGTGGCAGGGTGACATGGATGGCTGGGTGACAGGGATGGCTGGGTGGCAGGGTGACATGGATGGCTGGGTGACATGGATGGCTGGGTGGCAGGGTGACATGGATGGCTGGGTGGCAGGGTGACATGGATGGCTGGGTGGCAGGGTGACATGGATGGCTGGGTGGCAGGGTGACATGGATGGCTGGGTGACATGGATGGCTGGGTGGCAGGGTGACATGGATGGCTGGGTGGCAGGGTGACATGGATGGCTGGGTGGCAGGGTGACATGGATGGCTGGGTGACATGGATGGCTGGGTGACATGGATGGCTGGGTGACATGGATGGCTGGGTGACATGGATGGCAGGTTGGCATGGGTGGCAGGTTGGCATGGGTGGCAGGGTGTCATGGGTGGCAGGTTGGCATGGGTGGCAGGGTGACATGGGTGGTAGGGTGTCATGGGTGGCAGGTTGGCATGGGTGGCAGGGTGTCATGGGTGGCAGGGTGTCATGGGTGGTAGTTTGACATGGGTGGCAGGGTGTCATGGGTGGCAGGGTGTCATGGGTGGCTGGTTGTCATGGGTGGCAGGGTGTCATGGGTGGGTGGGTGTCATGGGTGGCAGGGTGTCATGGGTGGTAGGGTGTCATGGGTGGCAGGGTGTCATGGGTGGCAGGTTGTCATGGGTGGCAGGTTGTCATGGGTGGCAGGGTGTCATGGGTGGCAGGGTATCATGGGTGGCAGGTTGTCATGGGTGGCAGGGTGTCATGGGTGGCAGGGTGTCATGGGTGGCAGGTTGTCATGGGTGGCAGGGTGTCATGGGTGGCAGGGTGTCATGGGTGGTAGGTTGACATGGGTGGCAGGGTGTCATGGGTGGCAGGGTGTCATGGGTGGCTGGTTGTCATGGGTGGCAGGGTGTCATGGGTGGCAGGGTGTCATGGGTGGCAGGGTGTCATGGGTGGTAGGGTGTCATGGGTGGCAGGTTGTCATGGGTGGCAGGTTGTCATGGGTGGCAGGGTGTCATGGGTGGCAGGGTATCATGGGTGGCAGGTTGTCATGGGTGGCAGGGTGTCATGGGTGGCAGGGTGTCATGGGTGGCAGGTTGTCATGGGTGGCAGGGTGTCATGGGTGGCAGGGTGTCATGGGTGGCAGGTTGTCATGGGTGGCAGGGTGTCATGGGTAGCAGGGTGTCATGGGTGGCAGGGTGTCATGGGTGGCAGGGTGTCATGGGTGGCAAGGTGTCATGGGTGGCAGGTTGTCATGGGTGGCAGGGTGTCATGGGTGGCAGGTTGTCATGGGTGGCAGGGTGACATGGATGGCTGGGTGACATGGGTGGCTGGGTGGCAGGGTGACATGGATGGCTGGGTGACATGGATGGCTGGGTGGCAGGGTGACATGGATGGCTGGGTGACATGGATGGCTGGGTGACATGGGTGGCTGGGTGGCAGGGTGACATGGATGGCTGGGTGGCAGGGTGACATGGATGGCTGGGTGACATGGATGGCTGGGTGGCAGGGTGACATGGATGGCTGGGTGACAGGGATGGCTGGGTGGCAGGGTGACATGGATGGCTGGGTGACATGGATGGCTGGGTGGCAGGGTGACATGGATGGCTGGGTGGCAGGGTGACATGGATGGCTGGGTGGCAGGGTGACATGGATGGCTGGGTGGCAGGGTGACATGGATGGCAGGGTGACATGGATGGCTGGGTGGCAGGGTGACATGGATGGCTGGGTGGCAGGGTGACATGGATGGCTGGGTGGCAGGGTGACATGGATGGCTGGGTGACATGGATGGCTGGGTGACATGGATGGCTGGGTGACATGGATGGCTGGGTGACATGGATGGCAGGTTGGCATGGGTGGCAGGTTGGCATGGGTGGCAGGGTGTCATGGGTGGCAGGTTGGCATGGGTGGCAGGGTGACATGGGTGGGAGGGTGTCATGGGTGGCAGGTTGGCATGGGTGGCAGGGTGTCATGGGTGGCAGGGTGTCATGGGTGGTAGTTTGACATGGGTGGCAGGGTGTCATGGGTGGCAGGGTGTCATGGGTGGCTGGTTGTCATGGGTGGCAGGGTGTCATGGGTGGCAGGGTGTCATGGGTGGCAGGGTGTCATGGGTGGTAGGGTGTCATGGGTGGCAGGGTGTCATGGGTGGCAGGTTGTCATGGGTGGCAGGTAGTCATGGGTGGCAGGGTGTCATGGGTGGCAGGGTATCATGGGTGGCAGGTTGTCATGGGTGGCAGGGTGTCATGGGTGGCAGGGTGTCATGGGTGGCAGGTTGTCATGGGTGGCAGGGTGTCATGGGTGGCAGGGTGTCATGGGTGGTAGGTTGACATGGGTGGCAGGGTGTCATGGGTGGCAGGGTGTCATGGGTGGCTGGTTGTCATGGGTGGCAGGTTGTCATGGGTGGCAGGGTGTCATGGGTGGCAGGGTGACATGGGTGGCAGGGTGTCATGGGTGGCAGGTTGTCATGGGTGGCAGGGTGTCATGGGTGGCAGGGTGTCATGGGTGGCAGGGTGTCATGGGTGGCAGGTTGTCATGGGTGGCAGGGTGTCATGGGTGGCAGGTTGTCATGGGTGGCAGGGTGTCATGGGTGGCAAGTTGTCATGGGTGGCAGGGTGTCATGGGTGGCAGGTTGTCATGGGTGGCAGGGTGTCATGGGTGGCAGGTTGTCATGGGTGGCAGGGTGTCATGGGTGGCAGGTTGTCATGGGTGGCAGGGTGACATGGGTGGCAGGTTGTCATGGGTGGCAGGTTGTCATGGGTGGCAGGGTGTCATGGGTGGCAGGGTGTCATGGGTGGCAGGGTGTCATGGGTGGCAGGTTGTCATGGGTGGCAGGGTGTCATGGGTGGCAGGGTGTCATGGGTGGCAGGGTATCATGGGTGGCAGGGTGTCATGGGTGGCTGGTTGTCATGGGTGGCAGGGTGTCATGGGTGGCAGGGTGTCATGGGTGGCAGGGTGTCATGGGTGGTAGGGTGTCATGGGTGGCAGGGTGTCATGGGTGGCAGGTTGTCATGGGTGGCAGGTAGTCATGGGTGGCAGGGTGTCATGGGTGGCAGGGTATCATGGGTGGCAGGTTGTCATGGGTGGCAGGGTGTCATGGGTGGCAGGGTGTCATGGGTGGCAGGTTGTCATGGGTGGCAGGGTGTCATGGGTGGCAGGGTGTCATGGGTGGTAGGTTGACATGGGTGGCAGGGTGTCATGGGTGGCAGGGTGTCATGGGTGGCTGGTTGTCATGGGTGGCAGGTTGTCATGGGTGGCAGGGTGTCATGGGTGGCAGGGTGACATGGGTGGCAGGGTGTCATGGGTGGCAGGTTGTCATGGGTGGCAGGGTGTCATGGGTGGCAGGGTGTCATGGGTGGCAGGGTGTCATGGGTGGCAGGTTGTCATGGGTGGCAGGGTGTCATGGGTGGCAGGTTGTCATGGGTGGCAGGGTGTCATGGGTGGCAGGTTGTCATGGGTGGCAGGGTGTCATGGGTGGCAGGTTGTCATGGGTGGCAGGGTGTCATGGGTGGCAGGTTGTCATGGGTGGCAGGGTGTCATGGGTGGCAGGTTGTCATGGGTGGCAGGGTGACATGGGTGGCAGGTTGTCATGGGTGGCAGGTTGTCATGGGTGGCAGGGTGTCATGGGTGGCAGGGTGTCATGGGTGGCAGGGTGTCATGGGTGGCAGGTTGTCATGGGTGGCAGGGTGTCATGGGTGGCAGGGTGTCATGGGTGGCAGGGTATCATGGGTGGCAGGTTGTCATGGGTGGCAGGTTGTCATGGGTGGCAGGGTGTCATGGGTGGCAGGGTGTCATGGGTGGCAGGGTGTCATGGGTGGCATGGTGTCATGGGTGGCAGGGGTGACATGGTTTGCAGGGTGTCATGGGTAGCAGGGGTGTCGGAAATTTCCGACACCCCCAAGTACTAACCCTTAGCACAAGAATATAAAAGCCCTGTGTTATGAAATAAATTTATTAGCAAACATTTTTTCAGTAAGGGAAGACCAAAACTTTGCTAGACTTCCAGGCAGGCGGTTGGGTCAGCCACTACGGACTACACGGTAATTGTTTCTTTGCTTAACTCTTAATAAACCCAGTCTATAATTTGCTTTCATTTGCGGTTATTATTTTAGATTGGAAATCAATTAAACTTATAAAGAAATAAGGTGTTCTTCCATCCCGAGGTAAATTTCCTAAGTTATAAATGTTATCTCCCTGCTGGCAAAATAATAGTTACACAACACAGTCAGCTCATACTAAAGGTGCTTTAATACTCCACAAACTTCTAGCCCAGTGCTAGTAACAGTGGAAAACTGTTCTATAGAATTTGGAGTAAATAATTAAGGCATACAATAATGTCACTATAGTCTCGTTAATGAACGAGTTGAAACGACGTGACTATTCTTTTAACACGCACCTAGATAGGCGGGCAAAGACGCCATATTCTTCGCATCAACAACTCGAGCAGACAAGTTGTACAAGCTCGCTTGTACAGGGGTACAAGCGAGCAAATTAGCATCGTGTATTTTGGGATCATCTGTTTACTCACGACTCCCAGACGTTGCTGCTAGCTTCATATATCAAAAGGACATTGCGTTCGGTCGGTGGTTACTTCTTAGATAAATTTTTATGGCCATAATTACTGTTTAGAATAACCGGCCGTTATGCTGCAGGACAAATAAAATATCCAGAGTATGTTTATCCAAAAGAATAGTTTATGCTATTTAGGCAGTTAATCCCTTTTACTGGAGATTAACTGAAGATATATTAACACTATAGGTATTACAGTGTATATTTTCCACAGCGTGGAAAGACACTACCTGAAGCCAGCCACCTTAACTTGTGATTTACACTTGCTCGCAATGCCACCACGATGAGGCTAGGAATTTGACTGACTGACGGGAGAATCAGACGTACACCTATTAATCTGCTTGACAGCTAAATCCCTTAAATCACTTATGATAATTGTAATTAGTCTACTAAACTCATAACAAATGATTTACTCATAAATTTTGATCACTGAACTTATTTAATTATATTTGAATTACAAGGTAGATTTAGCATTATTAAGTCTACCTCCCAAATGTTGTGGAAGTGGTAACACCAAACAAATAATTAAATATTAATGCAGTCCACTCTTACAGTCCATTTAATAATCTGATAATAATACTAAGGAATACTTGGTAGAAAATTCCCACAAGGGTGACATGAGTGGTAGGGTGTCATGGGTGGCAGGGTGACATGGGTGGTAGGGTGACATGGGTGTCATGGGTAGCAGGGTGACATGGGTGGCAGGGTGACATGGGTGTCATGGGTTGCAGGGTGACATGGGTGGCACGGTGACATGGGTGTCATGAGTTGCAGGGTGACATGGGTTGCAGTGTGACATGGGTAGCAGGGTGATATGGGTGGCTGGCTGACAAGGGTGACATGGGTGGCGGCAGGGTGACATGGGTGGCGGCAGGGTGACATGGGTGGCATGGTGACACGGGTGGCAGGGTGCCATTGATGGCAGGGGGTCAGGTAGAGGAGAGCTAGCAGTGAGACACAGGTGGTGGGAGAGACACTGGTGGTGAGACACACAGGTGGTGGGAGACATAGGCGATGAGACACAGGTGGTGAGAGACATAGGCGATGAGACACAGGTGGTGAGAGACAAAGGCGATGAGACAGAGGCAGTGAGACACTGGTGGTGAGAGACACAGGTGATAACATACCATGAGGTCCTCCATGGTGCGGGAGCGGCCCCGGGGGTGTGCATGTACAACAAGAACAGAAGGATTGGTCAATGCTGGAGGCTAGACTATCACATTACATCTGCCCACCTGCTAAGCTATAGCTTTTCCTGTTAATGATGTTAATATCTGGGTACACTAATTGCTTGTGAGTTCACACGTTATCAAAGTGATTATTTAAGGCTTTGGGAAACAAAAAAGCTAATTTTGGTAATATAAAACCAGCGTTGAATGTAATGAAACGCCATTTTCTGGGTGAGACCCGGAGGCTCGCAGGAGGTTATCTAGGATGATATGCTAATGTCAGACTTTTTACATCAGTCGTGTGTATGGAGTTCTATGGGCCTACCGGAGACCACGAGCCAGAACCTGGCCCCCTCAGAGAGGCAAGGGGAGCAATGGCCTATAGAAACCCCCGTGTGGTTGCTAGCATTCTATGTCTGCCATCGACCGGGTCAGGTACCCAGAAAGGTAAGCGTCCCAAAACAAACCCCTATTCTGGTGAAAATTGCCACCACAAGCCGAACAAGTGGATTGAATTCCCCCTAAAAAAAAAAAGAGCAAACGATCGTGACGTCACACGTCGCCGCGCCGCTGACTGCGCAGCTCCCCCTCCCCAGGAAGGGGGAGCCCCAGACCTACCGTGCCGGCTATCCACCATCAGTTCTTTGGCTGATGCTAGAGGCTGAGGTCGTGTGCTCCGGCTCCGGTGGTTGTGTCAGCACTGTACCTAGAGTCTTCTAGGCAGTCAGCGGCGCGGCGACGTTTGACGTCACGATCAATTGCTGTTTTTTTTTTTTTTTTGTTTTTTAGGGGGAATTCTATCCACTTGTTCAGCTTGTGGTGGCAATTTTCACCAAAATAGGGGTTTGTTTTGGGACGCTTACCTTTCTGGGTGCCTGACCCTGTCGATGGCAGACATAGAATGCTAACAACCACACGGGGGTTTCTATAGGCCATTGCTCCCCTTGCCTCTCTGAGGGGGCCAGGTTTTGGCTCGTGGTCCCCGGTAGGCCCATAGAACTCCATACACATGACTGAGCTAAAGTCTGACATTAGTATATCAGCCTGGATAAGCTCCGGGGAGCCAAAGGGGCTCCTCCAAGAAAAAGGTTAGTAAATGTTATATTATGATAACCGCAAGAAGAAATTGTTGATGAAGTGGTGAATTTTTGGTAATGTGGTCAGTTATTGGTGACGTTGACAATTATATTATTTGTGAAATGTGATTGTGGCTCTAAAATGAACAGAGTGTACTTCATTTGTACAATGAAATACCATGTATAATGAATTTTGACCTTCTCGAGTTGTACAAGATCCGGCCATTTGTAAATATTATATATAACCCGTGTTAAGAGATATAATAGTGTAAGACATGCAGCGTTGGCCGTGAGGATGAACACTAGGTGAGAGTGAGAGAGGAGGAGTGGGTGGTGTTCATACATACATTAAGAGTGGCGGCCGGGTCCTCGTTCCCGCCGGCGTCCTCGCCTGCGTCTTCCTCGCCTTCCTCCTCCTCCTCGCCACAGGACTTGGCTGCCAACACAATACTCACATTATACACCCTCCTTTACTAAGCCACACATCACTCCAATCACAACCAAAATAACGCACAGTTGTCATATTATCGTCTGTGTACACCCGTTACGCTTGTCATTATTGCTCTTCCTTTACATCATAACAAAAACATTGATCTTTTCGTCAAAATATGACCTCATAAGTTTAGTCAAAAATATATACAAGATGAGAAAATGTGTGGAGTAGCGCAGTGGGATCTAACCACTGTCCAGGGCTTGTCAAGATGCATACTTGAACCATGATATGCTAAAGGTTACATGAGCTGGAGTCGTGCCGGACCCACTAGCAACTGGAAGGCCCCCAGCTTGTACCCAGGCAATACATACATACAACTCGCAAACACTAGTGTGTACAATGGAGGCTCACAACATGCGCTCCCATCTCACACTCCTAATACCAGTCCACGTCCCACTGTTACTACCAGTCCACGTCCCACTGTTACTACCAGTCCACGTCCCACTGTTACAACCAGTCCACGTCCCACTGTTACTACCAGTCCACGTCCCACTGTTACTACCAGTCCACGTCCCACTGTTACAACCAGTCCACGTCCCACTGTTACAACCAGTCCACGTCCCACTGTTACAACCAGTCCACGTCCCACTGTTACAACCAGTCCACGTCCCACTGTTACAACCAGTCCACGTCCCACTGTTACAACCAGTCCACGTCCCACTGTTACTACCAGTCCACGTCCCACTGTTACAACCAGTCCACGTCCCACTGTTACTACCAGTCCACGTCCCACTGTTACTACCAGTCCACGTCCCACTGTTACTACCAGTCCACGTCCCACTGTTACTACCAGTCCACGTCCCACTGTTACTACCAGTCCACGTCCCACTGTTACTACCAGTCCACGTCCCACTGTTACTACCAGTCCACGTCCCACTGTTACTACCAGTCCAAGTCCCACTGTTACTACCAGTCCATGTTATACTACGTCCTGCAGTCTACGTACGATTACACTTGTAGAAGTGAGACAAGAGTGGGGGGACACAAAGTGACTGGTACACTGGTGGGGACAAGAGCGGGGGAAGCGGGGTAGGACATACCCATGATCTCGGCGTAAGACATGTAGAGGGGGTCCTCGGCCAAGACGCCGGTGTGCTCTGTGGTCGCCTTGTGACTGAAGGTTGTCACCAGCTGCGTCAACTGGTCCGGCGCTCCAGCATCCTCCTCCGCCTCCTTCTTCTTACTCTCCGCCTCCTCAAACGATTGCTGTTGATAAAATAATTTCTACTTAATATTCACAAAAAATAGAACATAATATTAACCTGATATGCGCTTAAATTAACATAATTTAAACAAACAAAACCTAATACTTTACACTAATTATCCTGTTATGTCAAACACACTGTCGTGGAAATAAATATTTCATTCACTTGGGCATTAGGAGGCTCGAACTCTCGGCCCCAGTGTATGGGGTTGAGTTCCCAACAGTGTGTGTTGTAAGATGTGTGGGTTAGGTGTGTATTGTAAGATGTGTGGGTTGGGTGTGTATTGTAAGATGTGTGGGTTGGGTGTGTATTGTAAGATGTGTGGGTTGGGTGTATTCTCAAAGATGTGTGGGTTGGCTGAGTAATCTAATACACAGATTAAAAGAAAGAAAATACGTAAATTGTACAACTTCACAATCAGTGTTTCTAGCCTACAATATGTTATTAAAAGGAAGCCTAAAACTGTACTAACATTATTTATTGTCTCGAAATTTAATTTGTGACATTAACAAATTTTGTAGAGAAACATGCTAATATATGTGAACAGTGTTTATCCCGAGTGAGGGAGCCGGTCGGCCGAGCGGACAGCACGCTGGACTTGTGATCCTGTGGTCCCGGGTTCGATCCCAGGCGCCGGCGAGAAACAATGGGCAGAGTTTCTTTCACCCTATGCACCTGTTACCTAGCAGTAAACTAGGTACCTGGGTGTTAGTCAGCTGTCACGGGCTGCTTCCTGGGGGTGGAGGCCTGGTCGAGGACCGGGCCGCGGGGACACTAAAGCCCCGAAATCATCTCAAGATAACCTCCCTTGTGATGTAACTCAAGACATATAAATAGTGAACACTCCTGTGGTCGGGACATCCCAGTCATTGGGGAAATATTACTCAAAACACAAAGCACTTACTCTGATTTAATTATTAGTATTACAATATTTCACTGAGAGAGAACATGGCAAATTGCAGAGAAACTAGCCAAGAAATGTAGCGAAACTATGGAACAATTCAAATAGGTCTGCCTCCATCATCTAATTTATCACGTTTTAACAAAAAGGTTACTGAAGCATACCTGCGCTCCACTACCAATGGATGGACAGTTTCCAGATGCAGAAATGTCTCCAATACCCATTTCCCGCCATCATGAAGGTAACCACCACCCAAATCTCGACTATATGAAATATCATCATTCTAGAAGCATCACCGATAATCAGTTGTCAGCAATAGAAAGTAATGATGAGGACGGGGTAATACCAGTTCACAAAGGAGGTAGGCTACGTACCGTTAAGTCCTCGATGACCACCTCCTGTCCAACATTTTCGTCCGACAGCCAGTATTCCCGGTAGGTCCGGAGGAAGAGGTTGACGGCGCGATGCCTGTATGATATGTTGGTTTAAAAAAAATTCAGGTTAGACTGCTATGCCCGTTAGTATGTGGTAGTAAATAGCGGCGACCGCAGCCGCATGGCTGAGGCTCAGATATTAATGAGAAGGCTACAAGCGGCTGGTCATGTTATGATGCCTATCATCTACTAGTGCAGCAACTACTCAAGAAGACAGAGTAACAACAACTATTATGAAGACTATTACGTTGGTGAAGAGAACCAGCCACATCATTTACAGTATTCTTGCCTCAGCCTTCCCCAAACTGACTTCTTTAACAGCCTGGGCTGGCAAATGTCCTCTTAGCTTCAATAACTGACACAAAATATTATAAAATTGCAACATACATAAAGGTGTGTTGAAGATTATGTCTCAATGTCCTCCAGACTTGTGTGCAATTAATGTGATAAAACACTAGCGTTAAATGTAATGAAATGCCATTTTCTGGGTGAGACCTGGAGGCTCCCCAGAGCTATCCAGGCTGATGTGTATATTACTAAACTTTGGCATCAGTCAGTGTGTATGGAGTTCTAGGCCTAGCGGGGACCACGAGCCAGAGCCTGGCCCACTCAGAAAGGCATGAGGAGCAATGACATATAGAAATGCACACGTGATTGGGAGCATTCTATATCTGCAATCGAGCGGGACAGACACGCAGAAAGGTAAGCGCCTCAAAACAAACCCCCTAATCTGGTTAAAACGACGAAAATAGACAAACGAGCGGACAGAACTCCTCAAATGAAAACGAGCGAACAAGCATGATGTCACATGAACCGCACCGCCTATCTGCGCAGCTCCCCCCTCCCTGAGAGGGAGAAAGGGGAGCCCCAGACCCACCCCGCCGGCAATCCAACCATCAGCTCTTATGCTGAATGTTAAAACACGCGAAAAACTCCCGACCGGGGAAAGGGGAGGTTGCCCCTTCCCCCGGGCAGAATGAAAATGGTGTTTCATTACATTCAACAATGGTTTTCTGGGGGGAGCCCCTTTGGCTCCCTGGTGCTACATCACCAAAGACAAAAACTAGAGGGACTGAATGTCAGCCCAAGACATGTTACCAAAAATGGCAACAAGTGCAGCAAACTTTCGAGCGTCATGGGCATGGGGATAGACCGCATGCTGTCTGGACCGAATAACTCTGCAGACAACCTGAGAGACCCACACCCAGGAACAGGAAAGAAGAGAAACTTGATCAACTCAATGTGCGTCACCGGCCACTGAGGGCAAGGCGCGCAAATAACAGTGGAGCTCCGCAACAGAACACGACACATGATGCACCCCCAGCGTGACCAACCAAGCATCAACAACCCATGGACCACTCTGGAAAGCAGCAGCCTCATTCTTCGCCAGAAAAGGAGATGGCCGCAAAAGAACAAACCTATCACCACGACCAAAAGAGCAGAAACCCCTGCACTGGAGGAGAGCATGAAGCTCCCCGACCCGACCCCCCGAGAGGTCAATGCCAACAAGAAAAGAGCCTTAGAAAAGCAATCTGGAACCGAAGGGGCCATAACAAAATGGTGAGAAGATAAATACGAGAGCACCCTGTCCAAAGACCAGGACGGCTCAGGTGGCGCATGAGCAGGCCGGAGGTGAAACAACGCCCGAGACAGCTTGTGAAAAGGTGCAGAAGTAACATCAATACCAAGGCTACAGAGGCTCCACTAACGCTGCACGATACGAGGCAACATTATTCGGCATCAGATGACGGTCCTGAAATAGCCACGAGAGAAAGGACATAACCTGAACCGAAAGCGGTGGAGAGACAAAAAGAACCGGAAGGACACAGGGAAACCTCATACTGCTGTGAGACGAAGCCCATAGGTGGGACACCATCAAAGGAGTCACCTGATCACCATACAGTTGGTGATAGACTCGAGTCAAAAAATCCAAATGCGAAGACTCTAGAAGATCGAACCAGTCTCGTAATGGACCGGACCGATCTGCTGAAAGAGGCGGAGCCACAGGAAAACCTCCGGGTTCAGACCCTGAGCAAGCAGTGTCTGAAACCAAGGCTGGGCCGACCACCATGGAGCCAGAAGGACTACCCGCCCCTGTAAGTCTCTAAGGGAGCTAGGCCCTGGAGCAACAGCTGAACCAGGGTGAAAAGGTACAGGAACCCCCACCTCGACCAGTCTTGCCAAAAGACATCAACCCCGATGGCCTCACAGTAGGGGAAGGGAGTCACATATACCGAATGACACCTCAACCATGCAGACGCAAAGAGATCCACCTTCGGGCACCCAAACCTCTGGCAGAGCCAGCTCAACGAGTCGGCGTCGACCATCTATTCCGTGGACAGGGGAATGGACCGGGACAGGCCGTCCACCAGGACGTTGGACACTCCCAGGACATGAACGCCCAGGAGAGCCAACCCTCGAGAACTCAGCAGACGAGTCACCCGGTGACTCCGGGGAGCAGTCTGAATGAAGCCGGATCGTCGATCCGCGGGCGACCCGAACCCTTCAAAGCACAGAC